AAAAATTGTTTTACGATCAATTCTAAAATTTCAAAGAACTATTAATTGTCTATTGATACCAAAGAGTGACAGCACTCACAAAAAATCTCTGTTCCATCTTTTGGAAATTATAAATTTAGTGTAATATATCTTTTACAGATAAAACGATAGACACTATCGTTAAGCCTAGTTGTCCCATTATATTGGTGAAAAGCGCGAAAAATAGTTTATTCTCTTTTACTAAGAGAGCACGCACATAAAAAGGGCAAATATATTTCATTTGTGATGGTATTAAATATTTTTTATATCATTTAAATTATATATTATTAAAAACACTACTATTATATATTATAAATAATCTGTCTAACTTTATTTTCATATAGAACGTGAAACAGCTATTAATGAAAGAATTCGGAGGATACAAACTAATTCTTCTACAGCCAGAACATAAATCTATTTAAGTAATACTTAATTTTTAAAATTTAAACAAAAATTAATTTTAAACCTTAAATATTTCTTCCTCTTCTAGAGTCTCCACAGCGTAATAACGCCGTGACCGAAGAAATACAAATATGCAGACCCAATACATCGTGTGCTTAATTTTAGGTGTCATCACCATCCTTTTTATGTTTTACATAAATAAAAAACTCCACTCTGAACCAGTCGTAAAGAAACCTCCGACTTTGTATGAAATGTTTTTGGGCAACCCAATTAACATTTCTATTTGTGCTTTTATTTTATTAATTGTGATGGTCGGAATAAAAAAACTACGAAAGAGATATCTGCAAAAACTCAAGCGGAATTGGTTCATAACAACGGTCTCTGAGAGATTATTCACAGAAATAAGTGTGAACTATGTTAACAATATACGTGAGAAGGAAAGGGCTTATATAAATAAAATAATGTACACTGATCCGAATCTAACAAAGCTATTCACCAATGCAATGAAAGAGCTAATACCGTTGTACGATTTAAGCTCAGAAACACTTGTGGAAGAAAGCTTTTTCTTGAGCAGAATTTGTGAGCTCATCTTTATGAAAATCAGTGAAGCCCGCTTAAATGGTACTCTTGCAGTAGTGCCCGAGACTCAGGATAATTGATTCAACGAAACAATTATTTTATATCATTTCAGTTTAGGATTTTGCGACACATAGTTTTAAAATCTAAATTTTTGTATGGTAAGTATTCACTCTTACAGTTTATTATGAATTCTTATAAATTTTTTAATGTTCGTATTATAGGATCAACGCAAATCTTTTCGCTGAAAATTCTAAATCTCAGTTAATCCCTATCTAAATCAATATACATTAATGGGGAAATATATATACAAACAGTTTTGAGATAATTTATTTTGTTATTTAAATTTTTAAATAAAAAGTAAAACTTTTTAAATTAATTTATATCATCTTTGTTCAGTTGGTGTTTGATAGCCTTCCAAACCAGATAACCTCGTGAATTTTTACGAAAATGAAAAAAAGTGAATTTCGTGTGCTGATTAACCATTACGATCCCAAATCCACGAATTGGGATACGAACTGCTTCCCCATCCAGCATATTCCCCAGATTTAGCCCCCTGTGACTATTTTCTGTTTCCAAACCTAAAGAAAGGGCTGGGCGGTAAGAGATTTGAGTCGATTAAGAGATCATTACCGAAACAAACGCGTATTTCGAGGGCTTTGAGAAAACCTATTATTTAGAAGGAATAAGAAAATTAGAAAAACGCTGGATTAAATGTATCGAGCTAAAAGGTGAGTATGTAGAAAAATAAAATGTTTATTTGTCAAAAAAAATTTGTTTTATTCAAAAAGTCACTGACTTATCAAACCGCCCTCGTACTATATGTAATGTAGCACTAGTTATTAGTTGTTTTTGTTTTCTATTTCTATAGTATTCTAATATTTACTTTCTTGAGGAGTGTAAAATAAAGGGAGATAGCATTATGTTCAATTGAATGAGGAGCCACCTTGACTTCACATATTTGACATTTTTAAGAGAATGTTCTGGTGTTTTATACCCAGACCAATTTTTGTTGTGGCGATGTTGTGGAGTAAGCTAAAGAATAGGGTACCTATGTGCTTAAATCGCAATCTGGAAAACTTCATTCTACATAACCGTTGAAAGTAACATATCATATGTTGGTTCTCTTCTTCGTATGGTATCTCTGGCTGCAAGTCGACCCATAATGCAGTGTCCTGTAAGAACCGTTACTTATACCGCGCTTCTGTTCAGGTAAGATTATATCAAATTATTAAAATCTATTGCTCAAAATAATAATCAGCCAATCTTATTGGCAGTGCAGATTGTGAAACTGCGCTAAATAGTGCAGTTATGAGCTGAAGGTTTTATAAGCTCAAGAAATTTCTGATGTCTTTTCTTCGAATGCTGTGATGGAGCTGAGAAGAGATATAGAGCAAGCTTTTAATTGTGACTGTTTTGTGATTGCCTGTATTAGTAAATATTTATATATTTATATATATATATATCTATATATCTATATATATATATATGTATATATTTTTATATATATAGTTATATATATATATATCTTGTATGTTATTTCGTGCAAACGATTAAGTTTTGTTCTTTTGTTACAATATTGCTGTAATCCAACAAAGGATTTATTGGGACAGATTAATCAACCGAACAATATTGAATAGAAATATACAATTATTTTCTTGCATTCTAAAGCTAATCAAGTTAAAATACTGAGTTATAAATTAGTTGTACTGATTAGTATTTCCATAGAACATTGCTTTCTGTATAAGTAATAATTATTTATCCAACACTATTTCTCACTTATTATTAATTTATGTAATTAAATAATTTCCCTGCAATCTGCAAAGCAATTAGAAATCCTAATTAAGCACACATTTTTTAAATCTCGTAGTTTTTCTTTAGAGATACAATCCATTGAGATTTCTATTTGCCAACAACAACTCAGGCAACAACAGCAACGGTATGAACAATTTGCATGCTGGCAACACCATTGAAGTTCAAGTAGAATCGCATTTGCAAATTGATTACAGTGCAAAATTCAGGAGTGCTGAAAATGTAATTTACATCAGCAACACTTGCATAATTCAGATTGTATTGTTGTTGTTGTGTTGTTTGTTGCAGCCTGTTTTTATGAGTATTTGTTATGGTTGAAGTTAGTATTGCTGCTGAACTGAAGCTGATGATGTTCTTGCTCCTACAGCTTCTGCTGCTGCTGCAGCTGCTACAGCTGCTACAGTTACTGCTGCTTCAGTCTATGGCAACAGTTTTAGATACAATAATGAACGTATTGCAGCCAACACTGCAGCAGTGGAGCTGATGTTGATGACTATGTTGATGATATTGCTGTCGCCAATGGCTTGCATGTATCCGTCTGTCGACAAGCATTTGAGTTAAGTAGCAAGGCTAGTCAGACATAAATGCACGTAGCCCTTTAGGAAGCTCCCGCTGAATTAACATGGACAGTAAGAGATGAGAATTGAAATTTGCTGTAATGGAGCGTACATGAGTAACAGTCGAAACTAGCAATTTACTGCAAAATGAAGTTGTTGTTGACAGCATCAAATGTGGCATCCCAGCTGCTAGTGCCCCACCAGCATTATGTTGTCGGCATCGGCAACAATGCTCACAGCAGATAACAGCCATGTAAGGATTTTGTCACGCGGCCTCTCATACCAATCTTTCCAAATGTAATTTCAATTTTTTACACTAAATGTATTAATGTTAAATTATGTACAAGTAAGTTGGTGCTGTTACTGTTGCAGTTATTCTTGCCACAATGGCAGCACATGTTGTTGTTGCAATATGACCAACTGTTTTGTTTATTTCCGCATTTGTCATTGTTGTTGCCATTGCCGTTACCGTTGCCGTTCCCGTTGTCGTTGCCGTTGTCTTTTTCTAAACGTTGTTCAGACCATCGACATCCATGCTGTTCCTGATTATACTCTAGTTTTTGCACAGTGTGAATTGCGTGGGGTATTACAGCGTAGTGTCGCCCTATGCTGGCGACACCGATATAACTATTATCCATTGTCAGGGTTATCAACAGTGTGATAACTTTATGTTATCAATAAGTTTTTGTCGAGTGATTTGCATTAGACAGACTGACATTGTATTATTGCGTTTTACATGTATTAGAAATGTCTTTATGAAAAACGCTAGTCTCTGTGGTAAGACAGTTTTATTAAAATTAATTTTTCAATGTAAAGCAAAATTAGTTTTTCCTTCATAATGCTACAGACTAGACAAGCAACTATTAATTTAGAAAAAAACTAATTAAAAAAATTGAAGTGAAATATACGATAAAAAAAAAACGATTAAGACAATATTGGCTTAAAAGTTTGAGTACAATTCAGCAGAGTATCTCTTATCTTAATCCTAAAATAATCTAAATTTAAGACCTAATCTAACACATAATCCAATACAAGACTATCTTAATCTAAACTTAATATACCGGCATTATATTGAGGATATAGCCTTGTAGCTACAGAAATGGTTGGTTATAGGACCATTGTGTAGCCATTGCTTTAATTTCGAAGTTACAGTTTATTAGGTTTCTTAAGTTGAAGTAGTATCTGGAGGTCTGGATACAAGATTAAGATTATTGTATTGTTTTGGAAACTTATAGTTGTTTTGAATAAGAATATATAACTAAACAATAACTCCCACCGTTTCAACATAAGATCTATATATGAATATACATATAGATTAATACATTATAGTAATTAATGCTATAATGTAATTAACCAGGAACTTACAACAGTTGTCACAGCATATAACTCGGTCATCGTGACTTTTCAGAACAGCATTGGGCAGTAATCTAATATATGGGCTACAATCAGCTCCGAGTGTACATATAGCATTTTCTAGACTACTTTTTGTCATTGACTGGTTCTTACTGTTAATATGCCTAGAATATTTGAACTTAACCATGACCTTAACTACAGCAAGCTTTAATTGATTAAAGTTTTTATATTAAACATGTTCGATTGGCTAAAGCCAATATAATGTGATGTTTGAATGGTAAGTGACCTAGTCTAATTCACGAAGCAACACTTTTCTATTCCTTATTTTGTGAGAGCATATAGCATGACAGCCAATCTAGTGGTATAGACTTTAGAGAATATTATGAGACCATGTCATAAACAATTAAATAATGAATAAAAATACAAACAAAAATTTAAAATGGTTTTTTAAATACATATAATATTATTTAGAAAAACGAAAAATTATTTCCTTTTGAGGGAGCAAGGAAGCATTTCAGTCTGCTTGATAGCATTATTAAAACGTCAAAGGATTTAAGTGACGTTTAAAGCACGTGTACTTTTCTACTGAAGTAGGAAGCATCTTTTGAAAAGTTACTTTGATCTTTTAAAATCCAAAATGCACATTCTATTTTCCCAAGCGTTAGCTAATAAAAATATAATTTTTACTCAAAACATTTTGCTTAATCTAATACACTATAGCAGCAAACAAAAATGCGAATAATGTCTTTAATGTACACTTGAGAGATACCAGAGCCCACTTCATAAAAGGATGAATTTATTCTTGTTTTATTGAATCAATGGAAACGTCATTAGCCTACGATTATGATGCTGTGGAACAGTTGTGCGTGTGGTGTTTGTTAAAAAAATCAACTTCAAAAGTACCAAACAACACAGTTACATCTGCAACGCAATTATATGAAATCATATGGACTGAAAGGATGCTGTGTGGCTAGAAGAGTAAGCGAAGAGTATGCCAAACAAAAGTCGCTTTACAATCTTGTCAAAGGCACCACACACTTTGGTGTTGTGAACATATGAAGACACAACAAGCGGTAAGTATTTGTACGAGTATCTTTTCCGCACTTTAGGTATGATCTATCACAAGTTGCAGTTACCGCAGCACTGGCAACATTATCAATATAAATAGCAACAGCAACATCATTCATCAGTTTCTGCGCTTTGATTTCAATATTAAGTGGTGACACACACGACTCTGGCAATCATTGGACTTGTTGGCGTATTTGTTCGTATTTTTGTAGCTGTCAAGTTCATAACGAGGGTAGTGTAAAAAGTTTAAAAATGACAATTTATTAAAAAGATATTTTCTTGTACTTTTTGAGCATTAAAGTCATAATTTTATGACTAGAAAATTAGTTACATATAATATAAAATTATTAAATTTAAATAATTTCTCATAGATTTCACATTAAAATTTTTATGAAGACGTTTTCCATGGTAAATTGTAAAATTATTCCTTAATAAATTGCTGCCTTGTTTCTCTTTAAGTTTTTCTTAGACTTCTTTTAGTCTACAACATCCAGTGGTACTTAAAACATGTATTGTTCGTCAAGAATCGGATATCCTTTATCAGATTTTTATTTCTCCAATCAATTTGAAAACCGTACGTCCGTTACCAATATTTACCAAAAATCACACCCAGAAAAATATGCTCTACCCACATACTCGTCAAATTGACTTAAATATTTTGTTAGAGATATATTAGCTAATGTGTTAAAGAAGATATGAAAATCAACATGTGGTATGGCTGACCCAACATGCTGCGTCGAGTAAGAATATTTTGATCTTAGATTTAGTTAAAATCTGGACAAATCAACCAAATTATTTTTCTGAGTGCACGCAATCCAATTGGTAGGTTGCCAGAATATTCATACTTTTATTCATTATCTTCGAAAACAAACTAATTAAAAAAATAAAACTATTTAAATTCATATATCTACATCTATATGGATTGAAATCCATATAAATCTTCATCTATATGGATTAAAATCCATATAAATCTACATCCATATAAATCCATATATTTACATCTTGAGTACATCAGCATAGTCACAGATAACCCTTTCCTAGACTTTCCTAGTCACTTATCTATTACCTTTTTACATGTGAAGAAGCCTTTGCTCAACTGGAAAAACCGGTAACCCCAGTTTCGATACTATTAGTGAGTGTTATTGCATATTTGGACTATGTGAAGATTGATAATAACATATATAGTTAAAGAGTTTACACAGTTTAACAATATAAAAATTATAGATACAATACATAGTCGCGATAATACTACAGATATCGCTAATTTTTAATCTCAACAGTTTATTTTACTGTAATATATATATGCCAATATAACCTGATTCTCAAGACGTTGGGTCTTAACATTATACATATTATTATTAATTATAGAAGTATTTATAACACAAATTACACATACAACGATAATATTATTATATTAGTGTTATATACCCATCTATAATTTGATACTTAAACTTTTCTAGTCACTTATTTATTCTATATCTAATTTTTCTTTCTAATTTCCAGAAAAATCTAAAAAGAAATTTCTAAACTCCAGAAAAATGTGTGAACATAAAAGTTAAGTACGGCTTTGGGTCAGTTGGTTTAGGTGCGCTGACAGTGAGCTTTTAATTTGGCAGGGCACGTGTTCGATGCCTGGTATTTGCATGTTCAGCCAAAAATTCAATTAATTAAAATAATATAAAAATGAATTTCTGTTCTTGTAGTTCACTACTTTTCGAAAACCTCTATATATCTATTTCTTAAAAACTTGTGTTGCAAACCTCGTACAAATTTATTTCCTAAAATATTTATGAATGCTACTCCGGTAGTTCATACATTGTCTTCAAGCAAAATGTCAATCATAAATGCTGAGCTACTTCTACTCGCTGCTGGTGTACATTAAAGAAGGAATGGGATCCAGAATGGCTTATCCAATAACACAATCCATTCATTATTATTTTTTTTTTTTTTTATTATTTCTGCTCTTTGTTGTTGCTATTCCTTGTTATTTTACTTCATTTCATTGAGTGATACAGCAGTGTTCGTTCGCCTTGTACATCTTGTCCCCCAATTTGTTGATATATTTGCCATTTATGACAGTTGAAATGTTAAGAGGCATTTGCAAGTGTTAAGCATGTATTCGCTCTTCTTCCTTCTCCGGCACTGGGACTATTACATTTCTGAAGGCGGCATAATAAAATTGACACGTCATGCCAACAGATGTTACATTTCATGGGTTTTTGGTTTTTTTAGCGCCCTTTGTTTAGTATTCCGCTCGCTTTAATTAAAGCATTTCAAATAACAAATTAATGGCACATTTCTTTCATTTCGCAGAGTGTTAAAAAGGCTGTTAAAATTTTAACGAGCTTCGGAAATAGTTTAACAATAAA